TGCTTTTTTTGGTCATTATAGGTGTTCAATAGGCTTTCGGAGTTGCGCTTAGAGTTGGGGCAGATAGGACACATAGTAAGTATATATATGTTGTAGCAACAGCCATATCTAGACATATCCAGACTGGTACACTTGCTGGAAATAGCCTAGTATACGTAAGCATTAGTGCCAGGAGGGTCGTCCGTATATCGAATACGGACATAGTTAAGATCATCAGGTAACGCCATCCTTCTCTTTCGATAAGTCTCCACACTCGGTTTCCGGCATGCCCGCCAACATTTGATATGGAATTTTTCCCCCAACGAGAAAGCACTTTATCTTAAGCTCGCTTTGAATTCTAGTAGACATCCGCTATCTCTTTCTCAACCCCCAAGAAAGTAGCAGAGACTACTAACATTACACTTGTTTACGAGTTTGAAAAATACACAGTACTCCTCTGTGACATGGAGCGGGGCTCAAGGTGCAACAGAATACTTTGAACCTGGAACGGGATCAAATAACTGGAGGGAACAAGTTAGACCGATGTATTCGCCTGACATGAAGGGCGTATTCGCTTAATACCAAAGCTAGCAACAATCCCGATCCTGCCCCTTCAATATCACAAAACCTATTTGGACTGAAGCTTACCTGTTGCCCTGCACTTTTTCGACAATTCGCGGGTGTCCGCCACCCTTGACCGTGCAAAGCGTCGGCCAAAGTCTAGTCCGGACGGAGGGCACCTTCTTTTCAAATACACTCAAGTTTTGGGGCACAGTCTATAGTAAATGAGTGGCAGCCTTGCCATACTAAAGGTCTAGATAGACAGACACAACCGCTTCTACTATTGAGCCATTCGCTGGCAAATATAAGCAAGGCTCTGACAGTAATTCTTCAAATAAACATCGGCGGTGGATACTCCATGGCAAACTCGGCCGGTGCGGGCCATTCGGAGAACGAATAGTCCTTGAATAGCTCCCACAACGCCTCAACGGTTTGAATCTCCACCGTCTCAATCTCACCTACAGCTTCGAGTATATAATTGATCAGCTCTGACCTCAATCGCTTGAAACCCGATGTCCGAATCGCGGGCTGAAAGCTTGCCTTGATAATCGAGCATAACCGATCCTCTTGCAGGAAGCACTCTGCCTGCACCTTTCGTACCAAGGGTTTCGCAGAACCTCGTTCACTGTAACATAGTAACCTGACAGTGGCTGGACAGTTTGGTAGGTTCGGCCACTCGAGTGGCACAATGGCGGTGGTGTCAGATTGTAATCGTAATTTTGGGGCCTGAACTTCAACGACGTCTCTAAAAAGTCGCAAAAGAAAGGCCATATTGACTTCGAGGAAACAACCACGGCATGATATTATATTGCCTTTGAAAGTTTCGATCGATATAGGTCCAGGTTCCGACTCATCGCACCAGTCTAGTTTCAGTGCCAATTTTTGGTTTGCAGAGATATCTGTATGAAATTTTACGACTTGTTCAATCAAGTCGTTGATTCGTTGTACAATCAAGTACAAAGAACAGCCATGTAAGACGCTTATCTCGTCCCAGTTTCCTGAGTCCGCCAACTCGCTAATGATCCCAAGCAATAGCACCATGGACGGTGTTTCTAATGATATGTTGCCGGCCAGAAATGTCCTTCTCTCACAAATGTCGAAGAACTGCGTGGAAAAGCATGCCCCTCCAGCATGGAGCCAACGCATCAATTCAAGTCCTCCATCAGCGACCTTCGAGTACTCGAAGCTGGTGGCCGCAAGGGATGCTCCATGAAGAAGATAGTCTTTGTATCTTGATGAGACTGAATGCCCTCGATCTGCCTCAAGACTGCCAACTTTTGCTTGTACAGTTGAAGAGAATCCCGCTGATGCTAGCAGTCCAAGAAAGTCGGGGAGCTGTTCTGCTGGAGTTACCTCTTTGTGCATTGAGCATACCTCGCCCCATATTCTTGCACAGTATTGTTGTACTTCCTCGATATCGTCCTCAGCATTTTCCTTAATCCATTGCTTTGCAAATATCAGGGTAGAATCGACACTGTCAATCCATCGCGGAGGTTGAGGACTGTATTGAACCAAGGGCCAAAGCGTCTGCTGCACGAGATGCAGTCTTATTAACCTCATTCTACGGTTTTCCAAGGTCGTTTTGTCCATCTCCAATATATTTTTGCCTTCCTCTGTGTCTGTCAGGAAATTTGATGCAGTTCGATGGATAAAGTCAGCCATGATATTGGTGAAAGGAAGCAGATCATTCCATTTATCGGCCCTGGATTTGAACTTTAATTTGTCGTAGTTGGTTTGTTCTCTGAACTCAATAAGTCCAGCGCAGCGAGCTTTGATGTTTCTCATGATGAAGCGACAACGTGTTTCAAGTTCTGCCGGAGTGAGTCTATCTTCACCCTCTAGAATAGCGGCCTGGATTGAGTCTTCAGAAGCAACCACAAGCTCAAAAGCTGATATTCTCCCTCTCATAACGATTGAGAAAAATAGTTCGCGAGATTCGAGGATTAAATTCAAGTATAGGGATGCGGTATGTTCGTAAATGCCCTGATCAACATTTGCACGCTTCCACATAGAACTATAGAGTTCACCCAAATCACTAGGAAGGGCGTCTAATCTTTTGCGAAGGTCTTCCCATGAATCGGAGTTTGAATAACCTCGACGGATGCTCTTTAGTGCAAGACAGACCCACAAAAACACACCTTCCGCTTTGCGTAGTACCTCGTCGATGAGGTCGCTAAACGCCTTCTTTTCTTCGTCTGGCAGTAACCCTATCTCTGAAACGTCGTCCCTGTGGTGTTTCAACAGATCTTCACAAACTTTCCGTATGTCGGGTCTGGTGAGGTCCTGGAGCCGGAGGTTCGGCATCGACGTATATCGCCTCTCGAAAGCAGGCTCAGGACGACTAGAAACGCAGAGTCTCACTCCAGGGATTGTCGAAAGCTCGTCCACCATTTCAATGATATCCAACGAACCCTCTGAAGGTGAGATCTCGTCTAAGCCATCGAGAAATATGCATACCGGCCTTGGGGGCGTGTATTTGAGTAGAATATTTCTTAAGTATTCGCCAAGTTCGGATAATGACCAATCGCTTTCTGTACTTTTCATGTTGAAAGCTGTGGAATTCAGGAATCCCGAGGCAATTAGAATTTGATCATCAAGAAGAAGTTGGTAGATCAGTGACAGGAAAATGCCTTTGATAGATCTTTGCATCGGATTACCAACGCTCCACAGATAGTACGAGAGTATTATGGTGTTAGGGGCGAGGAATTCAGATGTTCGTTTGTCGTGAACGATGAACTTCATGAGGGTGCTCTTGCCTGATCCTGGTTTCCCACTAATCCAATAAATCTTCTCGGATGAGCCTAACCAATCAACAAAGCTACTCCAGGTTTGAGGTTCTCGTGAGTATATCCATTGAAAAGTGTCAGTGTGCGAATCCGTGATCATATTGCTCCGTCCGTTCATTCCATCATACTTCAGGCTCAGCAGAAGTTTCTCGCGTTTTACGTCCATGGCGGTTGTAAACTGGAGGTTCTCAAAACGTTTCGTTAAGTTGTCTTGCGCTGACTTGAACTCAGCCGTCACGTGTGCTTGACTATCGGCATTTGCTCGGGATATTTCCGATGTGATGTGCGACTTAACGGCGGCCGATTCAGCCGTAATCACGTTTGTGAGATTATGGTTGCCTCGAGATAGTTCATCTATGACCTTCTTCAGGCGAGCATCAAGGCGCTCAAATGATTCGGATTGTTGAAGCGTCTGAGCTTCATTTTTGGAACTGCAAGAGCGATGAGGCTTAGCATTTCCTAAACCTCTAGTAGTTGACTGTCATCCAAACTTACCATAGGTGAATAAGGATACCAGAATCCAAAGTTTGCTGCCATTGCATCATGTTCTTCTCGAGCTTCTGTATTCGACTCTGTTTCCACATGGCTTTGATCGAAGTTCCGGCGCTGCGGACAATATTCCCCTTCGCAGAGGTAGATCCCAGCTCTGACATAGTCTTTTGCAGTTCTCTCGAAGCCTCGCGACATTTCTTTGCAATCTGAACTATCTCTTTCTCAGCTGCTGTGCTAGGCTGTTTGGAATTCTTGAGAGCGTTGCCAACTGAGCTGGTAAGCTTCTCAAGATCCGCAGCCTTGTCCACGAGCTCTTCGTTGACAACCCCCTTATCATACACACGACGGGTCACGGAGATGGCTTCATAACTGAAGCTGATAACTTGCATGATATTACAAGCAATACCGAGCGCTGACAATGGCTCCATTGCCGGAAGACCGCCCAGGCCACGTTCGTGGTCGGCGTTGTGAGATTCATGAAGCTGAAGAGAGATGCTCAAACGAATGTTGGGGTGGGGTGAGCAGTTGGTGGCTGGCTGTGCTAGGCGACAGTTGAGCCGTGGTGATAGTTGATTGGCGCAGCGATATCTCTGACCATACCTACAGCTGACCGCACTTCGTTAAGACACTTGAAAGTGCATGCCATTTGTCATTTTGATGTTTGCTGTGACAGTACCATAATGTATCGTGCAGAGCTTAATCTAAGTATTGACATTCGCCGTCTCTCGTCAGGTAGTAGTCCACTCAACCAGGCTGTTAGAGAAACAGCAACTACATTCAATAATGATATGTACACTGAGCAACTACTACTTTTTATAATTGCGAATTTGTATAGTTCAATGATGTTCTTTCACAGAATGGCATCTACCATGGCTCAGTCTCTCATCATTACACACCAAATCTTGGCAAATGATATACTTGGAAAAAGTGGAACCGTCGAACCCAGGACCACAGCCAGCCCTGGCAGGCCAGTCGGGATCGTGATTTTCCTGGGGAGCTTTCCGTCCCGACCATCGCATCGCACCGCAGCTCACACCTCAAAACCCAGCCCAATTGAGCGCCCAGGACCGGACATTTCCTCCTCCAGAGCTGCAGCTACAGCTACAACTCAGCGACCATCGTGCAAACCTACCCGACCGGACCGATTTTACCTCTGCAGCACGCCCTGCCGGGACCGCCAACATGATCACCCGATTCATCACCGAGATCAACACCAAGTTCAACCCCTTCAGCACAAAGGCCAAGGCGGCGCGGCTGTTCCTGACCTTCCTGCCGCCCAACGCGCGGTCGAGCGGCATGAGCATCACGACGACGCTGCTGCCGCGGACGTCGGCGGAGGCGCCCTCGCTGCGCGTCAAGTTCAGTAGGTCTTGCCTCGCCTTGCCCTTGCCCTTGCCCTTGCCAACACCGTTGCCATTGCCATTGCCCATTTCAACTCGCAGGCCGATTCCTTTTCGCCCCGAGACACGTGTGTTTGTGTGACTAGGCTGCTGACACATGCCTTTTTTTTGCTGCGAAACAGAAGACGGCAAGGAGATGAACCTCGACTGCAAGACGCTGGGGATCAAGGGCATCATCGAGGAGGTGGACCGGCACTCGCGCGCGCTGCAGAAGCAGGCTGATCTGACGGACGGTTGAGCTCGTGCTCGAGCTCGAGCTCGAGAGAGGAGATGTACGAGTTGTATGCTGCTTGGTGAGGGAGAAGCATATGGGGTGTACTATATGATATGTGCGATATACTTTGCATGCATGGGGAAAACGGCGTTGGGGCACTACTCGCGTTATGTCACATATTCTCCCCTTTCAGCATCATGGATGTAGAAAGGCCACGATGCCTTTGTTCATAGCTGGGAAGATAAAAAGAGAACATAATCACGCATCTATACTGCGGACACGGTGGTCAAGCTGGGTTCATTCATATTTCTGAATTAACGTCTTGTTCAGAAGTGGGAGAAATATGCCCGAAGACATGCACACACACACACAATCAAAACTATCGAGCCGGATATAGCCAAGCATACTTGCAGGAAGTTCCGCCACAAACTTTTATCTACTCTACCTAGGACCGCCGAGAAGACATGCAGGATAGATAGACTGGCTCATGCGGAGGCTCCGCTGATGAAGAACCACTTGTCTATGGAGGCGTCGATCTTGCCAGGCGGCACCTCCTCGTGGGGAGGCAGAGGCGGCAGCTGCTCGGGAGCAACACGGCTAGTAGAGTGGGCGACAGTCAGGTTGGTACTGCAGTTGAATTAGCTTCCATGTTCTAGGTCATTATAGGAAGCATAGTCACTTACGTGGAGATGTTGCCAGGCTGGGTCTTGCCGGTGATGAGCTTCTCCCAGGCCTCGGCGCACTCACGGACGACGTCCATAGCATATCTGTCAAATTACATATTAGCAAACCGCTCTCTAAGCTTGATGGTCACCAGGCGCAGCTCACGTCTTGTTCTTGCACTCGCCAGTGAAGGCGAACTGGTTCTCGGGCTTGCCGTCGGGGATCTTGTAGATACGGAACCACTCGTTGGTGGCACGGAGCAGGCCAGGCAGGTGGCGCTCGACGTCCTCGACGTCGTTGAGCTTGGGGGCCAGCGGGTCGTTCACGTCAATGACAATGACCTTCCAGTCGGTCTCCTCCTCGTCGAGGAGGGCCATGACGCCCAGAACCTTGACCTGCTTGACCTGGCCGGTGTAGCCAACCAGCTCGCCGATCTCGCAGACGTCGAGCGGGTCGTTGTCGCCCTTGGCCTTGGTCTCGGGGTGGACGACGTTGGGGTCTTCCCAGGTCTGATTGGCAAAATTAGCATAGGCCAGCAACGAGTGATTTTTTTGGGCGATATTCTTCATACCTGGGGGAAGGCACCGTAGTTCCACAGGTAGCCCTTGTGGGGGAAGCAGTTGCGAACATATCGAAGCTTGCCCTTCTTGATGTCCTGCTTGATAGGGTTGAGGAGCTCGTCCTTGGAGATCTGTAGAGGGGGCAAGCAATCAGTATTGATGTCTGCAAACGTCACCGCTGCGGGGTGTCTCGTGGCTTTGAGGCCGGGAATCAGCTTACCTCGAGCTTGGCGTTGGTCCAGCGAGGAATCTCGACAATCATGTTGAGGACGGTCTGCTCGGGGTTGGCGAACAGGGGGATGTCGTGGAAAGGCGAGACGGGAACGCCATCCTTCTCGATGTAGACACGGTGCTCGAGGGTGTTGGCAGCCGCCACCTTGCGGACGCCGTAGGGAGAGGCCATGGCGGGGGACGAGATGTTGGTGGTGGGATCCGGCGAGTTGGACGGGCTGGCTGAGCTCGACAGGTGACGAGCAATCTGAGCAGTGCGCAGAGACGAAATTTTGGCCGAATTGGGCTGCTGCCGCGGACTGGAGCAGAGGAGTTGTTGATTTTGTGAGGAAGCAATCGGGGCAACGGCGGCGGCGGTGGAGAGAAACCTTCCACTGCTGCTACCACCTCTTCTCCCGCCCGCCGATGGAGGGGAAGAGCCAGTGGTTGTTGGCGTTGGCGCTGGCGTTGGCGGGGCTGGTGGAGGGGCTCCGAATTTGCTGGGCGATTTGTGTGACGCCAGCGTTGCCAGGCCTCGTCTAGTTTTTGCTGCGATGAGGTGATTGGCGTGATTGGCTCGGCACGCCTCTGCAGGTGCTGCTGCTGCTATTGCTGGCGATAGCAGCTGTATCTGCTGGGCCCACGCCCTGCTCCAACTGGCACCACTACACGTTCTCGTACAAAAGCCTGTGCCCGTGCTGTGGCGGAAATGCTGCTTGGTGTGCAGGAGAGCTCTTGGAGGCTGCATGCAGACGGGGGAAAAAGCCTTTCTTTAGCCGATGCCGCAGGTAAACGGAGCGGAATGGAAACACGCTGGCAATAGAACAGGGCACGTAGACTCTGTCTGTAATGCCGGTCTACAGGTTCGCAAGCAACCAGATGGCCAACCTACAAGTCCGTGGGAGTGGAAAGAAGGAGAGCCAAGGGGTGGCTTAATGATGCGATATGGCGATCTGAGTCTGAAGTGTCTTCGGCTTAGGCCAGCTGGCCGTGCATGTGCACCCGTTCGGCCGGGTATATCTTCGGTACTGTGAGCTTCAACGGGAGGAGCCGGTTGCGGTTGTCCGGTCTGCAGGCAGGGTGAGTGCTATGCAACGGATGACGAGCAGGTTAACAATTATGAGATACGCCTGCGATTAGGCACACCAAGGAATGGATATCACTAATGATGTGGCTTGCTGTGTGCAAAAGATGGACCGAGACTGAAGAGAGCTGGGAATAGTTGATCGGTGACGGACAGCTGGGAAGTTTACCCGCGAGCAACACACTTGGCCTGAAGATGAGCACGAGCCTCACGAAGTGTGGCGCAAATTTTCTAACCCTGGTCAACCACTGCTCAGTAACGTAACACCGTCCTCTCACTCACATTCACCCCCTTTTCTAGAGTCAAAATGTCGAAAAACACCATGGTATTTAAAACTATGCTAACATGTATGCTATCATGCTCGTGCACATAAATCATCATAATGCATGCTACTGTACTGACTCTACTATCATCATCCATCATCATCATCGCCTCTCCATCTCTTCATCAGGGTATCCGCTACTTGCTGCTGTGACCAAGGAAAATAGAAAAGTCCTTATTAAAACCGGCCCGTTCTTGCCCCCCAAGGTATGATGCTGATCAAAATCGATGATAAACGAAAAATTAGGGGACGAGAGGGCCATATACCAATATGTGATCTGTGCTCCCAATATCGACCCCCTTTCACCTCCGAGGCAAGTGATTCCTCCCGAATGCATTCGCGCCTCCAATGCCACCAAAACCGCCGCCGCTCCACCCCTGGTGGATGCTCTGGCGCACAATCATGGCGGCCGCCTGGCTGGCCGCCATCCTCTCCTTCTGGCGGTGCCGCTCCTTGAGGTAGCCGGCTGCCTCGGGCCTCATGCGCAGGATGCGCAGAATCATGTCGTCCGAGGGGTCGGCCTGGATCTCCTTGCGCTTCTCCTCCTTGGCCTGCCGCATCGCCACCAGGTTCCGGCTCATCATGATGCTCTTGCCTCGGCGGATCGTGCCCATGCTGCCAAAGCCCCCTGTTCCGTGGAACGTCCCGCCAAACGTCGGCGGTGCCGACAGTCTGTTATTCTGCGCGGGCGCCGTTGCCGCCTGGTACTGCTGCTGAGCGCGCTGCTGCGTGGCCGCGACCATGCGCTCTGAGGTGCGGATGAGGTTATCGGTGGAGTCGAAGTAGAAGAAGTTCAGCGACGCCAGCTCGTGCCACTTAGGAGACTTGAGAATGTCCGCTGGAACGCCTAGCACTTCGCCATGGTCGTCTTTGGCATTGAAGAAGTCGAACAATAGTTGGAGCCACCTGTACACAACATCGAGCTCGGCTTGGGTGAGGGGTTTTTGAGATGATGGCTTCTCTGAAAGTGGCGGCACTAAGAGGTTTTCAATAGCCATCAATACCTCTTTCCAGAGACGAGTCATAACCGCCAGCATGGTCGCGTCTGTCAGTGTTTGCTTCATGATGGCGAAGTTCTCATCGAAATAAGTGAAGAGCGCCTGGAGCGCATTCTCGATGTCGGCTTGCGTCAAGGGTGGTGGAGCGGCTTTACGGCCCTTCCACATATTCCCAATGGATGCCGCAATGCCGCGACTGAGCAAACTCTTCAGCGCCTCATGGGATAGTGACGCATTGATATGCGAAGTAAGCTGGCCCAATTAGTATCTGAGCTTAGTCCAGGTCTAGGAATTGAGTAAATACCTTGTCTGTAATTTTCCGCACCATGTCTCGCTCCGTCCTCTTCAGATGTCTGAAGGCCTTGCCAAAGTGAAATTGGATGTCATCCTTCTCGCCTTCCATACTGACCCTCAGCAGCAGTCTGCCCTGGGTGTCGAGATCCAGCCAGAATTCCCGCGGTAGATAATCACTAAAGTGAAGAGGATCAAGCTTCAGTGAAGTTCGTCCGACAAAATCGTGATCTCCAAAGGTGTCGTAGTCCCAGATCGTCGCAATGACGTTGACTGGGCCTTGGACAGTAATATCGACGGACTCATCCCAACGAGGATTTAGAGACTTGGGAATAATCCGGGTCTTCGCTAAGCGTTTTTGATACTCATCGACGAGGACCACGTAGGGATCGCTGAACCCGTTGGGGTCGCAGGCCTTGATATCTTCCGCTTCTACGATCTTGATCGTGAACACATACTTATTTGGTCGGCGAATTTGTTCTTTCGGTCCCTCTGCCTTTTTCAAGACCTCTGCGCATTGCTCAACGTTCATGGATTTCTCCAACTTATCTAGCGCTTGCATGGCATATTCGATATTGTTGAGTTTCACAAAAGACTAGTAGACCGTCAGTGCTGAATGGAGATATACGACGAGACATACATACCTCTGCGTAGAATTGGAAAGGCTCAATCCTTTCTTTGGCATTCCAAGCGTCTTTCGCCATCTGCATAAAGCGTTCCTGCGTTGTTTTCTGAGCAGCAGCCAACTCCTGTGCCGTCTGGCGGTCCATTTCTTTCGCAAACCTCTGCTCAACAATTTCGCAGTACCGCCCAATCCCTGATGCGAAGGCTTTAGCCAGGGCGGTCATGAACTTGGCATGGTGTACATCATCGTCCCACTCTAGCTGGAACACCTGGTCGACTGTCTGATTGAAAAGTTGAAACATGTCGATGATGGACACACTGTGACGGTCTGCATCTGAAGGGACGGCGTCGGGACCGTTGGTGCGGACCTGAAATTGATCCTGCTTGATAGCTTGCTCGACGAATTCTTCCATCCTGGTTTCGGCATTGTTGATCCAGCGCCACACAAATTCGTCCAAGACGCTCTCGATGTGGAATGCGAAAGGTATCCCGGGAAGGGACTCGACATGGATCTTGCGTATCTCGACTAGTTCTTTGTACAGATCAAACCCGTCCTGAAGATCAATCTCCATGTCGCGTTCCTTAGCAACCGCGACAATGCGATCAATGATGACGTTGGCATCTTTTTCGAAGTTCGGGAACATAGTTTGAACCAGAACGGCAAAAGGACTGACGCCCATGATTTCCGGGTTCTTTCGATATCGGTTTTTTATCTTCTGACAGAGCGCAACAGCCGCCTTTCCGAGCTTCACGACGTGGCTGAAGTCCCATTCTTCTTGGCTGCTAGGAATTTCACGATCCAGATATTCACGATAAACATTTGCAGCTTGCTGCCTAAGCCCTTCTGCAAGAAGTTCCGCGAAAGCCTCCTCGTCCTCGGGCTTTCGAGAAAAGGAAGGATCGTCGTATATGTGGTTCATGAGGACGAACATGACCACACCCACCGATGGCGGCTTGGGCTCATAGCAGCGTAAGAGCAAATCGTAGAGGTCTCGAAGCAAGGCTTCGTTAAGATTACTCAACGTCTGCTGATAGACGGTGAAGTCAACCATGGTCCAGCGAGCAGTCTCAATTTCCTGCATTGCGGCGTGGTGGTGCTGAATGTACGGCGCCTTCTTCGGTTCTGGTGGCGGCTCTTTCACAAATTCGAAGGCTGCATTCAGATCTTCAACTGTCGTTTCTTGATCCAGAAACTTACGCGCCGCAACCTCCAAGAATGTTACATGTCGTGTGAACTGCGGGATCCGCCAATGAACGCACAACTCGGTGAGCAAGTCAACGGACTGCTTAGAAAGCGGCGTATACGGAACTGAAGGGTCAGCATGCACCTGGTCGAATGTCATGGCATGTTGAAGGATAGTTTTGTAATAAGCGCGAGGGTCGGGAGGGATGAAGACATAGCTAGCTTCGTCTACGCTCCGTATGCTGGCAGTATCCTCGAGAGACATAGAACTAAGGCTGAAAGAATCAAGCCCCAGTGGCCCAGATCCAGAATCGGGACTGGATATCATCCTAGCGAGATCCGAGTAGGCCTGGTCCTCGCCATACGTGGACGTCGGCCGCACGGGCAAAGGCTTCTCAAAACTGCCAGTTGAGGTCTTGCTCAGCTCAGGTCGAGCTGTTAGAATATCGAGCATCATGGACGACAGGTGTGTGCGCTCGCCACGTCTCCACTCCTCAAATGCTTCGTCAACATCAAAGTCTTGCCGCCGCAACGCTCCAGCCATATTCGAGTCCAGACGATGTTGATAGGCTTTTAAGTCCTTGAGCGCTGCTTCCTCCGTCCACAGGTTGCGGTTCACATCGATCTCGGCTTGCACCTGCGAGTTGAAACGCCCGAAGATCTTGGCGACAATCTGCACCATCGGCATGTCTTTAACATCATATGTCAAAGGAACCTCGACTTCTATCGTCTTATGTTCGGTATCTTGACCCGTGTCAATGAAGAGGTCTTGATCATTTCGTAAGAGTTTCTGCTCCAGCGTGTTTAGGCGGCTCATGAGCTCAGGTTTGTCCCGGTCACCTCCATGGTCTCTGAGGACATTTGTTATGAGCCTCACAAACAATGCGAGGTGCCTGTCCACGAGGACCTTCCAACCCAGATCGTCTGGCGCCTTGCCCCGACTCTGGGCTTTCGTGGCAGACGAGTAGAAGATAAGCACAAGCGGCTCAAGCTTGCGATCCTTGTCGATGGTCTTCCGGAAGTTCGAGTCTGTGAAAGCCGTGTATGCCTCCCCAAACGTTCGCTTCACAGCCGCATCGTTGAACCCCGGCAAGCGCTCTGTGCCCACGAGCACGCCCTGCATTCGCTTCTCCAGAGAGCTACGGAAGCTGTGCGGCAGCTTGATGCTCAGGCTGCTGCTCGAGCCGGTCGGGATGAACTCCTTCATCAAATCGGTTATGTTCGAGGTGTGGGCACGCTGCGGCGCTTTCGGGGTCGTGATGTACTCCTTTCGTCTCTTCTTGGGCTGCAGCAGGTAGTGCAGGAAGGCGATGCGCAGGGCGAAGCTGTACGCATCCTCGTAGCTGACGACGCCCTGGAAGGCCCTCGAGCCGGCGCGCGATCTCCGGTCTGCATCCCGGACTCGATTGACGCTCCGGTTCGGCTTCCACGACCTGCTGGAAGCGGACGACATCTTCGCTGCGAGACGGGCGGCGTCGCGTCCTGAGGCGGGGATCTGACCGAAGGGCTCAAACCGTTGCGCTCATGCGGCGCAGGCTGTAGCATTCGTGCTCAAAAAGCAGGATACAAATTCTGGAGTTGTCAAATGCTAGCAATATAGAGGACGCTGTCTGGCCTGGTGCGCAGGCGTCAGTGTCGTGATGTTGTTGTGTGTGTATTATGACAAGGGAGATCTCTGTTGTTTCCTCCCTGTCAGGAGGCGGTGGTGGTGGTGATTGATGTCCAACTGCCGTAGCACAACGTCATCCCCGAAAGAGGGTCAGTGCTCGCTAGCTTTGGCAGGTGTGTGGCCAAAGCGGTTTCGTTTGGTCTGGTGCTACCAACCGCCTGCGCCGCTCCCTTGGACTTTGACCGGGTAGGCAACGTTTATTCCTGGCGCCGGTTTACACTACGTACGTTTGGGGTGATGCGCTATAACGGCACCAAATATAGCAACCCGGCCACTGGAGGCGACTGACACTTCAAAATGTACCTATATGCATCACATGTTTTCGCTCATTACGAAGCGACAGAATACGAACTCAAGATACCATTTCTCATTTGCAAATGAACCCATAATTCCGTAGAGTTTTGCAGGTGACAACCATCTAGGTCTGCATACTTACGTCTCGTTTCATCTTTACATACAGTTTGCCGCCGTGCTTTGTGGTAATGCAGATTACCTTTCAATCTCCCAGAGAACAGTGATTCGTAGAGTTGTGCGACAAGAATTTGGTGGCTTGCATTAGTTACAGCACTCCCGCAAGGAGCCTCAGTGGAACTCCACCCTGCCCCGTAGTTCCATGCCGAACAACGTCCTCAACAGTATTTTAAGCTCTTTGTTTGTTTCTTTCGAGATGATGCCTTCTAAGGCTTTGACACGCGGCTCTTCCTCCCACGTGTAATCATACAATTCGAGGTCAGATCCTTGCGTTCTGCTCGCTCATAGCTTGCCCAGTATCCGCCGCCGATCCGGAGCCGGTTCTATTCTCTGTTCCAGCATGATCTGGCTGCAGCTTGCCACGAGCTCGCCGTCCTGATCTAAGATGGTCACCTCGGCGTCCGATCTCCCTTGGCTGGCTCCCTTATTTTGCTGATCATAAGTGTAAGGCGAGGGACATAAAAAGCCTGGGGAAGGAAACTTACCACTCGAACAAAGAGGAAGTCGGCGCCCCTCGCTGGTAGGGTTTTCTTGATGTCCATGTTGAGCACCAGTGTCGTGGTATGGTAGGCCAAGGGCGCTGCCGAGTGGCCGTCGCCTTCTACCGTGCCCCCGTTGAGACTTACAGCTCGGCCCTGGAAGTCGAACTTCGGCACGCATAGGTCAGTAACGATACCTAGAGATGTGTTTGAGAATGGCTCTCGATCGGAAAACCGTATCCACTGGTCCAGCACCTGTTGCCGATACGGCGAGGCACGCCTTTCGAAGAAAAAGTCAATGGAGTCATCTGTTCCCTTCGAGGTCTGCGGTCTGGTTAGCAGCTGCGACTGTGGTTGCATCTTGTCATCATCCGCCGAAGTCCGCTCTTCCGCCGGGGGCCGCTATACCCCTGTGGCGTGGCTGGCATCAAACTTACCATCGACCCTTGGAATTTCCACAGTTCGTCTATGTCCCTTCTCAGACGCTCCAGATCAACGGGACTTGGTGCAGGTTGAAGCTCAAGAGGGCCGTTCGTGATCGGCCCCTTGAAAGTTGCGGTGTTGGCGTTGGTCATATAGCCAGTGGCGATCTCCTCTCCGATCCGGCCGGGATCAAGTGTCGTCAGGGGTTCGAACAGGTCGCCGTAGTACTGGATTAGGACGACCTGTACCACGGATATCTGGCCGCCCAGCTTGACATCTTTGATTCTGAAGATGGCCAGGTCGCCATGGACAGGCCGGAGGAAGTTGAGCTGGACAGATACCGTGTGCGGTTGATGGTAGGCCGCCAAGGTTGTGCTGAAGTGAATTCTCGAGACCTCGAGGAAACTTGAGGCTTCACGGATGATTTAGACACCATTCGATATGCTGAACTCGGGCCTCCTTACCTATGTAGCCTGCATTTGAGGCGGCTGGGTCTGCGTGATAGTCGTGGTTGAGATTCACGAGATACGTGTGAGAGCTTAGTCTCTTGATGAAGAAGCCGTCCGGCGATGAAACAGTCGTCGCCATTGTTGAAAGCTCTAGATTGGAACCAGCAGCAATTGGCACATCATATCAGAGCCGACCCCATCCGGCCAGAGGGCTTGACACGAGTTTATATCAGTTGTAAGGATGGGGGCAGCTTCCCGGCCCACTTTCCAGGGCATAAGTACATGCATTGCCTAAGACGGAAACAGCCCCAGGTTCAGATGGCCAGACAATGACGGAGCCTCGGATTTGATAGAAGACAATAGGCTGTATTGAGGTAGGGCTGGGTTGGGTGTGGCCAGGTCCAATGTCGGACTAATTAGCGGCTCGTTGGCGGAGTTAAATCCTTCGCATCCTCTGCTCTTGTAGCGAGAGTTCTCATTGCATGAGGCTGAGATGCGGAGAGGCTCAATGCCAAACTTAGCCCCTACCGTACATATATGTATGTCAGAAGAGGAAAATACTGTTACGATCGTCGATGCAATGTTCTGTGCTTTATTTTCGTTACACGAAATGGTAGCGTGCCATTCCTTGTAGGCGATTATTCATAGGAGATACCGTGCTCAGTTACCATATTCTGTTTTCGGTGATCCTTCATTGCCTAGGTAGAAAGAAGGCCCCTTCAATTTGAACTGCTGGGTGGAGACATCTCAATATTCAAATTATGCTCTCCAAAGAGCATTGCAACGGCACAGATCTAAGCTTCAAGGCGCGTACGCTGCAATGTTACCCGGTGAAAAGGTTCAGTGTCAAGTTTGAGGATTTCTGGAAAGACCGAGTAAGCAACATCCTCGTGTACTCTGTGATTTGATAGGCTATATAGCCCACTTCTTCGTCTGACAACCGAGGCACCGGCGTGGATACTGAGATAGGCGTGGAGGGTGCAAATGGTAGCCTTTGCTTAATCCACGGAGGAATCTTTGTTGTCCATCGCATCCGTTGAAAATCGAAAGCAAACTCCTACTGGCTGGGCTGATGTTTCGAGACGCCCTCCATCTATATGGCCTCGCGCCATCCAACTTACCTGATGTGACCAACATTATTTCGCACAGTGGCTTGGGGACATCGAACTCGATTTCGTGTGCATTACCTCGTTAAGACTAGTCAGGCATGTTGTAATACACATAAGACCTAGCAAACCACAGTATAGAGATGATGTTCGTCCAAGTTCGAAATAGGCAAGGCGAATTGCTTGGCTAGACAAGTCGGATGTCCTGAAGACTGAAGATGGAGAACTCGCACTTTCAATGGAGCGGTCTTACATAAGACGTTTGCCTCAACTAAGTTCTCACGAGTCGGCATGGCGGCGACGGAAAGGCTGTAGATGCAGTACTATGCAGTAGAAGGGATGACAGAGGACTTTTGATAGATACACGCCTTCGGAATCTTGACAAGGAGATCAGAGTTCAAGCAGATAGATCTACAGTAATGCCTCTATATCTAGGCCCAACTCGTCTGTTCACCACGGCCGATAGTGGACATGCTCGCTGTACGGACGTAGTTGCGTAAGCTGCCACGCTGAAGGCAACTCCTTTTTGCCCCTGAGCTGGAAGGCTGTTAGTGCAAGGCAGTTGCTTACTTAGCCACTTGGTGTCTTTTGAGAACAAAAGTGCGCCTGGAAACCGCCAACCGACGGTGACGCCAATACCTACGCTACTCGATTAGGCTCATCGCTAAGATACCTAAGGTAAGTAACTGACTGGCCTTTAGGTGGGGTTTCTGTCTTGGACAGGCTGATTGACGTGCTGGCTGGGTGCCGCCGTCCCCTCAAACGGGCCATGCCTAAATGCTAATGTTAACGGAAGGTTGCTAATAAATAATAATCAGTGCGTCTACCTACCTAGCCCTGGAGGTCTCTAACATGACTCTATTGTCGTCCGTGTTCCCAGGTGACATGCGCCGTGCCACTGGACATGACGAGGGCATCGTCGTCACGATACAACTTGTTCTGAGGCGCAGTGAATAGATACGACGGACACAGGCATCGGCGCAGGCGCAGGCACAGGCATAGCTCTACCTAGCGCAACCTCTTTGCCTTCATCATACCTACCTAGGTACCTAGGTAGGTATCTAGGTAACTTAGGTACTTTACAGTGGATCGTGCACACATGATCCAGGTCTTATGCCACCGACATGTTGCGGCGCCTTTTTCACCACGAGCGAGACAGTTCACGTTGAAGTGCCACGAGGCTACTCTCTATACCTCACCTACTTAGTACCTACATGCCTATTCTTAGCATCACCGCTCTTTGCAATGCGCCTGTTGGCCGGCGACTCGATATTTCTACATTTCTCAACTCTCTTCTATCGTTCTTGCCTAGGTAAGCGTACTCCCTAAGTAAATAGGTGGAACCTAACGCTATCTGGGTGGTAATTAGTACTCGAGTACGGTACGGTACCGGTAGTGGGCTTGCCTCTTGCGACAGCTCTGATATTTCTTGGCATTTTTATTGCATTGCGGCCCCCCTGTAACCCCGCCGCGCGCGACAAGAGCCGCCAAACCCCTTCCTATTCGAGCTTCCGTGACAGCATACTCCGACCCTTCATCTCACATACATACATACATACATTCATACTATATCCCACCACCACCACCACCACCACCGCCATTCCGCTCGCAGACGTTACCGTTTCCCACGATACTCAATACCGCATCATTCTTCGCCGATACTCTGGGCTGAGGGCTCCATCCTCTAGCACCTCATCATGGGCAATGTCTCAAGCAGGCCCGATGAGGGCGCTGCCCTGTACCTCAGAGATCAGCATCGCCGTACGTTGTGTCTCCTCGCTGCCCCCTCCCCAACCCGCTGTCCCACGGCATTTGACCCGACTCATCCACGCTGAGTGCTGACCTCCCCCCCCCTTCCAGTATCTATATCTTCTCTGGTGGTTAGCAGCCCGCGGAGACGTTCTTACGTGAATATCGTTCCCAATGCATTCCCTGCTTCAAGAGTATCTGCATCTCGATCTTCAGGGGATCCTGCTCCCATAGAATTCGTCCAGGTATGCGACCAGAAATCGCTCTTCATCGCCGCCGATCGCATTGCTAACGCTATCCTTCTCCAGGACCCCGAAACGACGAGCCCAGCATCTCCCCCTTCATTCATTATAAAACTTAACCACGAGGACGAACTCATGTTCACTTTCACATTCGTCATTAGACAAGTGCAGCCATCACCAGCCAGCACGAGCGGCGCCACCACAACCGATACCAACGGCGGACCCGTTGACACACAAATCAACGGGCTTACATATGTCTGCGCATCAAACCCTCGAGAAGTAGAGAATCTCGTCACAAGGGAGTTTCACGCCGACCCGAACCTGCACAAAAATGCGAACGTCGACTTAGTGGGGGATTTCAATACAGGAGGAAGTCCATCTGTGACATTCGACTGGGCATGGAAATGGAAGCCGCCAAAGAGCGCAGAGGATAAAGGGGGCGGTTGGAGGAACACTTGCAGCGTACGCCAGCATACTACAATAGGTTGAAGAGTGTGGCTGACCGGTCTAGTTTGTCGAGTACAACCCTCGCGCCCATCGGCTTGATACTTTGGCCAGCTTCTCTTTCTGGGTGCAAAGTCAGTCTATGCAACACCAGTCCCGATGATCAAACGGCTAACCTAAGCAAGACGTAGATACAAGCTCATACATGAGCCATCCGAATTCGCCAACGCCTCCGTTCCTCCTGCCCCCGCCGCCAAAGATTCGAGTCCCCTCTACCCAATCTGTCGAGTCGCGGATGAGCGCCATCGACATCGATGAGCCTCCCTCCCCAGCAGCGACCGCGACTGAATTCAACAACGGTGGGCCGGCTCCACCTCCTCCTCCCGCAGCAACAGCTGCTGCCGCATCAGCAGCCGCGGTCAATGCTACAGGCACGACTGCTCAGGAGCCCGTCAAGGTTGACATCTCATGTCCTCGACCCGATGATGTATCGGTGACGGACGATGGTCCCGTTTTCCGCGCCACTATCAAGGCGCTCGAGCAAAAGACGGGTAACATGCGAACACAGATGAAGCGGGTTATCAAGAAAGCCGAGGCGGCTCATACCGCGCAAATCGAAGCAAATGACGCTTTCGTCTCGTTCATGGACGCCCTGCGGGAGGCGTCATCAACCAACGCCAATGCTGTCCAGCCTGCTATTGAGCATTACTTCGACAAGATTGCTCGTGAAATCCTCACCTACGAGCGAGTCAATGCCCAGAATCTACAAAGAATAGTGATTGAACCTCTAAGTAAACTTTACAGCATGGATATCAAGCAGGCGGAGGCCAAGAAGCGCGACTTTGAAGAAGAGAGCAAAGACTACTACGCCTATGTCGGTCGCTATCTTGGCCAGCGGCACGATTCAGTGAAAGCAAAGCAGAGCGATTCCAAGTACCAGTCGAAGCGGCGAAACTTCGAGTTGAAGCGATTTGACTACTCTTCCTTTATGCAGGATTTGTCGGGTGGCCGCAAGGAACAGGAGGTTCTGTCGCATCTCACCAAGTATGCAGATGCACAAGCCAAGGCGTTTTTAGCGACCTCTAAGAAAGTCGATGCCTTATTACCGCAACTCGAGGCGCTGTCTTCCGAGGTTCAAGTTGCAGACAAGGAGTATCAATACCAACGACGTGAGCGGGAAGAGAAACGGCGACTCCTGGAGAAGAGCAATGTAATGTATGTTGAACCTGACTCGGTTTCGTCTGTTGCTGGAAGCGGCCAGGGGTTCATCATCAACGGCAATCAGTCCAACTCGGACTCTGAGCTCGGCCGAGCGGACAGTACTGGTTCGCAGTTGAGAGCTGTTGTCACTGGAAACTCAAACACCACTACTCTTGTTGGTGGGGATCTCTCGCGTTCTCCTGGTAGTTTAGGCCAGTCATCAGTCGGAAGCCCACCGCAGGTCTCGAAGTTCAAAGGTATTCGAGACCTTGAAGAACGCGACCTAAGCCAGACAGCAGCACTCGAGAAGAATGGAGCCACGCAGAGGAAAGAGGGCCTTCTTTGGGCGTTAAACCGACCCGGTGGTCATGTTGATCCCCGCTCTCTGAATAAGCAGGGGTGGCACAAGTAAGCTCACATTGTCTAAGTGCGCAGTGATTATGCTAACTATCATAGATTCTGGATCGTGCTAGACCAAGGGAAACTATCAGAGTACAGTAACTGGAAGCAAAAGCTTGATCTGCATATGGACCCAATCGACCTACGCATGGCGTCCGTGCGAGAGGCGAGAAATGCAGAACGTCGCTTCTGCTTCGAAGTCATCACGCCGCAATTCAAGCGAGTTTACCAAGCTACGTCAGAAGAGGACATGAACAACTGGATTTCTTCCATCAATAACGCCTTGCAAAGCGCTGTTGAGGGCCGGGGCGTGAAGGACAAACCGGCAACGGGCCCGCCGTCCAATGATGGTTCCCACTTTAGAAGAGATATTGGGTCGATCCTCACTGGCAAGAGTCCATCAGTCGGGCATGCGCAAGCTCCCCCGAGTGCAGGCGGTTTTCCTAGCCGGCGAATCACTGTTGGAGCAAGACCTGTGACGCAAAGGAGTAACAGTAGCTTTGACGAAAGTCCAGACAAGCTCCTCCAGATGTTGCGGGAGAACGACCAGGGCAATTGCTGGTGTGCTGATTGCGGATCAGGAGCCAAGGTCGAATGGGTGTCAATCAATCTGGCAATAATTCTCTGCATCGAATGCAGTGGCATTCACAGATCGCTGGGAACCCACATCAGCAAGGTTCGATCGCTCACGCTAGACATTACTTCATTCACGCCAGACATAGTGGAACTGCTTTTGCTAGTCGGCAACCGAGTATCGAATATGGTCTGGGAGGCCAGACTGGATCCGTCTCTCAAACCGAGCCCACAAGCAACTCGAGAGCAGCGTCTGAAGTTTATCACGTCTAAATATGTGGATCGGGCATTTGTTGAACCAATTTCTGCTACATTGTCTCGCTACCCTACTCCAGATGAGACGCTGCTTGCTGCCATCAAGAAGAACGAGATTCAGCAGGTCATTTACGCGCTGGCCCTCCATGCTAGCCCGAACGTCACTGACAAGTCTCGGGGGACGCACGCTGTTTTCTTGGCACTTGCTGCGGCAGACCCAGCCTCGCCATCACCAACAACCACACCGCCTCAGTCAGATGCCAAGGTGGTGCCTTTCCCTATCGCAGAGATGCTCATTCAAAACGGAGCAGAAATACCCGCTACGCTACCTGCTTTCCCATTGAGCAGAGCGGCTCAGCTATATCTTGAGCTCAAACGAGGTCGTGCCGCGGCGGTGAATACCAGCGGATCCCATGATGGCATTGGTTCACTACCCAGCAACCTCAGTCCTAGCGAGAGACTCGCAAGAGAGAAAGAAGCCCGACTGCAGAAACGTGTCAGTGCGGGTGGGCGACTGGCCAAGTCGCCAATCCCGGAGAGATAGAGCTCTCGCATATCGGCGTCTCGGAGACACCCAGCCAGTGACTAGCATGGAGCTGGCCATGACGCTTACATTCGCTTCGATATTGTACGATTTTTGGAGACCGGCTTGTGTGGACGTTTTTGATAACCCCTGTTATGTACGAGTGGACGCAACGAGACGCTCGCTTTGATGACCGATACCTTACCGATTTTCGATTGGCTTTGATCATGATGGATGGTTTGGGATAGCAATGAGGAGATTGCTCCTATGTGTGCGTGCCCGCCGCGTGTGGGCGTGTGTGTGTGTGTCTGTGAATTTAATACGGCGTCAAAAGGCGCAGTGGCTTACAGAGCAAAAGACGAAGGCAGCATGAAGATGGGGACGGACGACCTTTGTGTCAACGAGTGTGTGTGCTTGGAGAGGGCTATCTATCTATCTGTACGCCGCATATGCGATGGTGAGAGTCATTGAGTTGGCGAAACTGGACTCTTGAGCCTTGGAAACACGCAAATCCTCCCCGTGATGAGCGAGCGGCATGGTAAGGGTAGCAATAATAGTAATGAACATGGATATGGAGCATTTAACGGCCGTGGTCTCCGCCTGGCTATGTTCACGACAATCACGACGTGTCTGCTTCTCAAGTGTTGTGCCGTTCTCGCGATTCTCATGATCTGGTCAGGTGTACAGCGTCACAGAAAAAGGGAGGTTCATAAGGGATTTGAAGCCTTGTCTCAATAACTGAGCTACATAACCCTAAGCTATCTCAAATGCAACGAAGACTCGATTCATTTCCTGTTCCCATCACCTGATTGATGCAAACGCCTGCTTTTTGTACAAGATCGGATCCCCCCCCCCCTTTCGCCCAGCCCCTGCCCCTGGCTCCTTTGCTGCCTCTTCGTCACACTTGCGTGCAGCAGCCATTGGCATCGCCCACGTGCCCCACGAACGTGCAACATCCATACGTGTATGTAGTGAGTCCATTAGTCTAGCAACTACAGCAACAACAACAACCACCCCCCTCGAGCTATGTGCTCCACTATACGAGAAGACAAGATCGGTCAGAAAAGCAGTTCCGGGCCAGAACCAGAACCAGAACTCCGGCCCAGCCTCAGGAGAAGTAGAAGCAAGCAAGCAAGCAAGCAACCAGAAAGCAGTGCAATAGACAGCCTCCACTCCCCCAAGAGAAAAGAGCTCGGATTTAACCACAGAGGCAGCCGAAGCACGACTAGTATTTCTTTCCCGTCTTTCCGCCCTTGTTTGGCTGCTGCTGCTGCTGCTGCTGCTGCTGCTTGGTGCCATTCTGCGTCTTGGCGGCGACGATGTCGTTCTTGCTGTAGTAGCTGTCGCCGTCGGTGCCGAAGAGCGCCTCGTCGCCCTTGCCGCCCATCTCCATGAACTCGCCGGCCTGGCGGTGGTCGGCCGGGCGGGCCTCCTTGGCCGCCGCCGCTGCCGCCGCCCACTTGGCCTTGGGCCCGCCCTTGGGGTTCTTGGTGTAGACCTTGACGGCCTGCTCGCCGGGCTGGCTGCCGGCGATGCGTGTCACCTGCACCGAGTTGATGGAGCTCAGCAGGGTGCGCTCGCGCGGGATGCCGCGCCGGTTGACCTCGAGCCCTGCGATGCCGCCGACGAGGCCGCCGGTGCTATCGTTGACGCCTGGGGCGCTGGCGGTCATCCAGGGGTGGCTGAGGCACTGGTCGATTGTGAAGCGGCGCTCGGGATCGACTACGAGCATGGAGTCGATGAGGTCGACTAGTAGTGGAGTTAGCACAAGCAAGAAAACCGAAGGAAGGAAAGGACATCGCTTACGTGCTGGATCGCCGACAGAGTCCCAGTATGGTGAAGGATAGTCGAAGCGGGCAGTCTTAATTTGTTGGGAGAGCGTGAAGGGGAAGTCTTTGGAGTAGAGCTCATCGGAGAATGGAGGAAAGCCACACAGACAGATGTATAACACAACTCCAAGCGACCATACGTCAACAGCCTTGGTATACTTGCGATTCTTACCCTCTGCAAGAATCTCTGGCGCAACATAGCTTGGAGTGCCGCACAATGTGGTTGTGAAAGACTCCTCGCCAATGATCTTCGCAAGACCAAAGTCTGCGAGTTTGACGTGTAAGTCCTTGTCTGTCATGAGAATATTCTCAGGCTTAATATCTCGGTGCACAATGTTACGGTCGTGCTACAAGGTTGGTTAGTAGGGGAGGGTTTCAAGGGACATGTTGAGCCTTACCAGATATTTGACACCTTGAAATAGCTGAGTAAAGAGCTTTCTAGTCTCGTTCTCGGTGAGCTTCTGCTTCATGACAATGTAGTTGAACAGCTCTCCTTCCGCCGCAAGCTCGAGGACCAGGTAGACGGCGTTTCTCTCGTTGAAGGTATCCTTCAAGCATAGTACATTCGGGTGGCTTACGCCCATCAGGACGGCGATTTCCTGTTGAAGACCTTCTGTCTTCGAGCGCTCTTCCATACCGGGCGTCTTGGTGAAGATCTTGACCGCATAGCGTTGACCGCTTGATTTCTCAACGCACAAGAATACTTCGGCGAAGTGACCTTTTCCAAGCTTCTCTAGCAGCGTGTACTGCTGAAGAAACGCACTTGTCGTCCGGCTCCTAGGGTATCTGAAGACGAATCGAGCCTTGTCTAGGACCGCAATCTCATCTTGCTCGGCGAGCTCTCTACGTTGGTTCCTTCCAACAATAGCTTCGTTGACGAAGGTACCGTTGCTGGATAGATCTTCTAGAACCGCGACGGTGTCCTCTCCCTTGTTCTCAGTGAATATCAGACAATGACGGTTTGATACTATCGGATCGTCGACAACAACATCTGAAAAAAAAGTTAGTATTATTGCAGGAAAGCGATGAGCGCAAAGTTATATACATACCGCACTCTGGATGACGCCCTATTAAGTAGCCTCCCGCGGGAATGCCTACTATCTTGGCCTTGTCTAACTCTGCCTCTTCCTCCTCCAATGCCTTCTTGCCCTTCTTTTTGGGCACTATGTCTTCAACGGTGTTGGGAATGGGGCAAGCGGCGCGCTTCCTCATCACTACGCACCGGCCGCCGTATCTTGTATCGAGGGGGAAGAGGTACCCCCAGACGCCCTCTTTCACCTCATCCTCGACTTCGTCTGAAAGTGCGGCGTTTGGGTCTACGAGCTGGGATGGAAAGGCCTGTGTGTCTTGCGGTGGCGAGGAGAAGCCCTGGGTCTGCGAGTAGGGCTCCCCATTCTCTCGGTGATGTGTAATCTGGCTGCCCGGGCCCTCGGGGGGCGTGGCAGTAGCTTCTTTGTAGAGGCCCTCGGTCTCCTCAGTGCTGAGGTGGGTGACGGGCGAGGGCAGCTGGCGGTTGGTGTCTACGGGGGTCTTGTCGGCGCCGTCGTGGTCGCGATGCTGGGACAGACGCTCGGATCGGCGGGGCCGCTTGTAGGAGTCTTCTGGTTCGGCAGGCGAGCCCTTGTGAAGCAAGCGTGTTAACAACTTCAACGGGAGCATGATGCCGTAGCATAGCATAGCATAGCGCATAGCGTATCCTCACATCGCATCACATCACGGAGCTGTGACGTCGACGGGGGATCAAGCAACATGCAGCATGGAGCGGGAGGCAGCAGGACGTACTCGGTGCCGTTTCAATTGGCTCTGCTCGCTGCGCGGAGGCATAGTAGCTTTATTTCCTTCGCTGTGAGGCAACAGGCCAAAGGTCACGGAAACTGAAGGGTCAGCCAGTGAGGGAATGTGCGCAATGGGAATTCACAATTTGGTGCGTGTGCGCGATGGCGGTTCTTCACAAGATGAATGCCTGGAGGGTGTTGGAGGCCTTGGATCCAGTCAGGGTGCTACCTAGGCAGGCTAGTGTGGAGACCGCAGGTAGTGTAGGGTGTAGGGTGTAGGGGAGGTAGGCAGGTAGGTACTGAATGACCAGCAGCTCAACTGTTAAAAAAAGCTACGGCCCTGGCTTCTGTGGAGGCTGGAGCAGCAAATCCCAGCGTCATACCTTCGGTACCTCCCTGATTGTTGAGGAGACTCCTTCCCTCGTGCGGCGAGCATTGAGTCAGCCGGGGTCCAAGTCCTCCCCAGGTGCGCAGAGGGAAGCTACAGCGAGCTAGCGGCGGTCTGCAGTGCGGGCACCTGGCAGTCACCCGGGAGCTTCAGCCATCATGCAGGGGGTATACAGGGCTGTGGGTGAACATCTGGCTGAGCCACTGGCAGCGATCCATTCTACCGTGTGGTGGGCGGGCCGTGACCGTGGTCGACCTTGGCCGTCCAGATGACATGCGTCGGTCTGGTCATGTAAGGTAAGGTGTAAGGCCAACATGTCTTAGACCGTCTCGCACTTGGAGTAAATGATAGAGGGAAAGAGAGAGATACACTCGGTGTTGACTCAGATCCTCGCGTGCGATGAGCAACAGGCCAAATCTCCCATCTTACTGTCGCCACTCGTATCGGCCCTGGACTGTCGCCTCGACACAATGCCCATTGCCTTGGCAGACCTATAGGCAATCTAGAGATTCCATCCGGAAGAAGCAGGTTTCCCATGAGAATCACTATGCAGGTCTATGTGACTGTAGACGGACGGGAACGTCATAATCTCGGATAATACGCCTTCGCCGTATTGCCATCCTGTCTGCTTAACTCCACCACTTGGGACTCAAAGATCTGAGAACATCATCAAGCATATACAACGTGGGATGTGTAGTTTGTCATCCGAGAGAAGACTTGTCGTAGTGAAGCAACTGCACTCTCCAGGTGACATCCAACCCCACCATCAAGCCTCGAGCACAAGTCATTCGTCTGTAGCAGCGTCTCTTTAAGACATCGCGGCTGGCCGTGACGTAAAAATACACAACAGAGCCCCGATCTGATCGCGGGTGGCTTTGCAACAGATGGAAGTGGCGGCCATGGCAATGCACAGTTTCCCATGGTGTAGTCGAGTAAACGCCCGAGGTTCGCTCGGATCGTGCCGTTGCGGAACGCAAACCCTCCTACTCTAAGCCCCAAGCTTCAAGCTTCCTAGTAGTAGGCTACTCCATTGATATACCTGAGTGTGAGATACTCAGGCCATGACTCGTCGAATCGGAGCTCTGGGTCAATGCCACCTCTTGAGAGCTTTTGAGAAATGACCATCAAGGTTATGATGAGGGACAAACAAAGGATTAGAGCTTATTATGCTTCTTCAGTGTATACTAGGTGAAGGTAAGGAGCTGTGCAGCTGCCAGACAGTGGAGGGCAGCTGCTGTGCAGGCAACAGGTGGTCCAAGCTGGAGCTGGAGCACAGACCATTCGCTTAAATAGTCCACTCCACCAACGCCCAGGGTGTATTCCTACCCAAAACAATTCACACCGCCCTGTCTTAGCGTCGGATCAACTTCACAGCGCTTCCGAAAATGGCAGAAAACTGGCTGCCCACCAACTTTGGTGGGGCCTACGAGGAAATTGAAGACCTCTTGGATGATTTGGTCGACGACGTTGTGATTTACATCGAGCCTGACTTCGAACCCGATCCGCCGGTCCACGAAATCTACCTCTCAAGCCCAGGCGAGGAGGACGACGATATCGAGGAGCCCGACCCCATCGACGACGAGATCCCCGCTCAGAATTCCCCCTTCTTCAACATGGCCGAGCCCAAGTTCACCCCGCAGCTCGTCTTTGTGGACGGCAGCAACAACGACCTGATCCAGGAGCTGGCGGACGTGCTGAAGATCAGCGATGAGGTGAAGCCGCTGATCGAGAAGGACCAGCGCGAGGAGGCGCTGGCCGCGGTCGTGAGAGCCTCCGCCAACTTCAACTCGATGCCCGAGAAGGAGTTCGGCCCCGCCTACAACCTGCTCATCTACCTCGTCGTCCAGCAGTCCAAGGACCCCAAGAAGCACCTGCCGATCATGTGTCAGAATCTGCTCAAGCCGATAACGTCGTCTCCAGTTAATGGCCCAGGCCTCGCGCTCGGCGCTCTCCAGACCATCTTCAACCTTCTCGCAGTCGACAACCCGGTGCGCTACAACGTGCTCCTCCAGATCCTGCGCTTCGTCAAGATGCACAATTCCTACGACTCCTTCCAGCCCATGGTTGCCAGAATTCCGCGCTGGCTCGATCTCTGGGACCTCGACGATGAGGACAAGCGCAAGGTGTTTATCGAGATCTCAGATGCCGCTCACGAGGCTGGCGAGCAACAGTGAGTGAAGCCCGTCGCGTCAGATTTCAAGTGTGACCTGAGAGCAAAGTGACTAATTTCTGAATTTTTCAGGGATGCCTACAACCAACTTCTCCTCGCCCTACGAACCTTCGATGTCAACGATCAGGAGGAGCTCAAGTCAGCGGAGGCACAGCAGTACTCTCTGCGTGCCCTCAAGCTTGTCCTTGGTATCAACAAGCCCTGGGCCTTCGACCTTGCCGCGCTGCGAAATCTCGCCCCCGTGCAGGCGCTCAGCGACTCCCACCCCGTCTACTTCGAGCTTCTCGAGATCTTTGCCGAGCAGGACCTGGAGGACTTCAACGACTTCAACGAGGAGCACGAGGGCTTCCTGGAGAAGGAGCACCTCGACTTTGAGGTGCTGCAGACCAAGATGCGCCTCCTGACCTTCGCCAGCCTGGCGGCCGCCCACTCGCAGAACAACGAGGTCCCCTACGCCATCATCGCCAAGGCACTCCAGATCCCGTCCGAGCAGGTCGAGCTGTGGATCATCGACGTGATCCGCGCCGAGCTGGTCGAGGGCCGCATGTCGCAGCGCGACAAGGTCTTCCGCGTGCAAAAGGCCACCCACCGCGTCTTTAGTGACAAGCAGTGGCGCGAGCTGCAGGTGCGCATCGACGCCTGGCGCGCGACGCTCGTCTCCGTCACCGGCGTGCTCCGCAAGTCGCAGGCCGAGGCCGAGGCGGCGCGCGAGCGCGAGGCGCAGGAGATTGAGCGCAAGCTGCAGCAGGCGAGCCTCGGCGACGGCCAGCAGGGCGGTGGCCAGCGTCGCGGCGGCGGTAACGCCGGCGGCCGCAACCAGCAGCAGCAGACGAGACAACGCACCGACGACGACGATTAGAGGGTGGAGGAAGCAGCAAGCATGGTTTCACACGACGGGACGACACGTGTCTTCACTGCCCTTGGGCTGCTGCCTCGGCACGCACGCCTGATTGCTTGTTCTAGGGGATCATCATACTGGTTTTTTGCTGTTCTGTGACCATAGAATTCTCACGATACTTCATGGCCTGCTGGATGGACACGTTTTCTGTGCTTTGGCGTTCTGCTTGCTAAGTAAGCACCGCAGGGGGAGGGCCGGCGGTCAACAAACACCATTTCATCATCTTTCGTCATCACGAGCTCTGGTCGATCAGATTTGGTCGCAAGGATCATCTGCATACAGGGGGGAAGAGGGAAGCATGATGGATTAGAAAAAGTGCCTTCTTCTGATGATACAAATGAACAGACATAAAAAAACAACGAACACATTATGGTGTTCGCCCTGAAAGTGATTATGAGTACAAGTAAAATGGTACGTAGTCTGTACAATGTTGTCGCCCATGCCTGCAATGCCAACTGCTGCTTGAAGCTGTTTTTGGTAATCCATGCCCTGCCTCTCTTTCCAGAAAGTGAAGTCTATATCTAACTTGTTTCAACTCCCATCCTATCTAAAGCTGAAAATAGTTCCTCCCTGCCCCGCGACATGATCACACTCGGAGACCACTCTACAGGTCCCGGCCAAGCCTGCCCTTGAGCTTCTCCTGGGTGGTCTTGTAGACGGCCTCGGGCTTGGGGGTGGCGTCGATCTTGACGACGCGGCCCTCCTTCTCGTAGTAGTCGACGACGGGCATGCTGGTCTCGATGAAGGTGCGGAAGCGCTTGCGGATGCTCTCGGCGTTGTCGTCGGCGCGGCCGCTCGTCTTGCCGCGCTCGAGCAGGCGCTTCTCCATCTCCGCCTCCGGGCAGTCGTAGAAGAGCACAAACTGCGCCGGGCACACGGCCTGCTCGAACTTGAGCGCCTGGTCCATCTTGCGCGGGAAGCCGTCGATCAGGAACTTGGACTTCTTGCCGCCGGCGCCGCCCTTGGGCTGCTTCTGGATCACCTCCGTCATGGCGTTCTCCAGCAGCTGCACCGTCACCTCCATCGGCACGATCTTGCCCTCGCGGATGTAGTCCTTGATCAGCTGGCCGAACTGCGAGCCGGGCCGGTCCTGCTCCGCGCGCAGCAGGTCGCCGGCCGACAGGTGGGTGAAGCCGTAGTCGGACACCAGCTTGGCGCACTGGGTGCCCTTGCCGGCGCCGGGCCCGCCGAGAACAAAGACCACGGCCACGTCGTCGGCGGAGAAGGTGGGCGTCGCCTTGTCAGGGGCGGGGAGCTGCCCGGAGGACTTGGGGGCTTCGATGGCGGGCATTTCTGTTCGAGGGGGAAAAGAAAGGGTGCTGTTAGCCGCCTGTGGGAGATTGCAAGTAGGTTGAGATTGGACTAGGAGAGGAGCTGGTATGCATATATTGGACTAGGGGTAGCAGGAGAAGACCGTTTTGGGTTTGATTGTGGTGGGAGTGCTGAGGTTGTGATGGTGTGGCGGTGGTGTCAAGAAGGGGGGCAGCAAGTCCAAGGTCGGGAAGACCATGGGACGACGTCATTTGCAGCTTTCCAACTCCTGACAGGTCACTCCAAAGGGGCAATTGACCACCTACCTTTCCGTCTATTCACCAGCAAAACCCAAGCACCTGTTCCCGCAGCGATGATGGCAACAAACGGCCAGAACTTGACGGTGTAGTTGGAGTCGCTGCTGCCCGGAGGCGGTGGTGGAGCAGAGCTGTACGATCGACGCGTCGTCTTGGTCGCAGGTGAGCGCAGCAGAAAAGGAGTGCCGAAGCTGGTGCTGCAGGTCCGCTTGCTGCTTGTGGTCGCAGCTGTCGAGGCCCGCCGGAAGGGTGCTGCTGCTTGTGACGGCTGCCGCAGAGTCGCCTGCAGTTGCCGCCGGAACATCTGACGTGCGATTGGATGCATCCTGAAGAGAGTGAAGGGTGCAGGTGTGTTCTTGTGGGCGCCCAGCGACAACTTCAAACTTGAAGAGCTTCTTTTTTGTCGACGCGGGTCTTCAGGTGTTAGGCCAGTTGATTGCCGGCTGGCGCTGGCCGGCGGACCCAGGGCCAGTCTAAAATGAGACGCTTCTGGACCTTGATACAGTGGAGCAGTGCTTGTAAGTCGAAGCACATACACGCTGTCACGTGTATCCCCTGTATCAACCGCGTTGTCGAACTCCCTACTACCAGGTCGTCTATTGTAGTCGCTAAATGTTCCGACTCGTCAGACTTGGAGGCTCCCTGTCAGATATGCGCCCCATCTGATCGATGTCACAACGACTGTAAGGTGTCTAATTCTGTCTGGATTGAATAAGAAAGAGGCCATGGCTTCTATCACGGCGCCAAGCAGGGGAGCAGAGGTATTGGGGCTATTCTTGTCACCTTAGTTGTGTGTGTTTATCACTTCAGACCATTCATGCAGTTTGAGAGTCGAGGACGCACAGAGTAAAAATCGAAAGATGAGGTTTCTAAGAAAGTTTCCATTTGTGAAGTCCGTTACTCTACCCAAGCAGCCGAACATGTAGCTCAGACCGGCTCGAAATCCCTTCTCTCTTTCCTAAGGTAGTGTACAGATCCTCGTTCATTAAGAGTAAACTATTTGGACTCCCTCTCCCACAAGTCTCAGATTTAGCGATAGCGTGCAAAAAGGTAGCTAGCAGGTATTTCCCAAGCCCTTCCCAACGCCAATGGTATATTCAGGATTTCAGCTCAGCACAGCTGGAACATAAGAAAGGTAATATGCATATGTAGAAAGAGGAATTTTTCACAGTCTAAGCCGCCCACGACACAACTTCGTTTGCCTCGCTTATCGGCCGAAGCTGGTCTGTGTAGGAGGGGGACTCTTCACGGCGGCACCAGCATACGCGCCCGGAATGGGAACGGCGTCATACTGCTGCTCACCTGGCGCGACAGGGCCGTGAGAGTTGAAGTTTTGAGGTAGACCTGGAGCGGCTTCCTCGACTGGTGAGAATCCTTTCTGGCCGAGCCTCGGGGTTGCTGAGGGGGCCTTGACGGGCGGTGCCTGTAGCTTGAAAGGCTTGTCGGCTGCGGGCTTGGTGAACGAGGACTGGGGCTCGTGAAGTCGCTGTCCACCAGGGGTGAACGGAGACGCCTCCTCAATATCACCGAGCGAGCGGTATGCAGCAGCTGGTGGCAGGCGCGGGGAGAGCGCATACTGTGAGAAAGCTGGCGACTTCGGGCCGGCCATAGAGAAGGCAGGTGACTTGGGTCCGAAGCCAGGGGTGTTGGGAGCGGACTGGGTGCGAAGCTGAGCGAGGTACAGGTCAGATCGGGCCTTGTCTCGCATGTCCATCGACTTAGTGAGGCGGCGCTTAGAGTAGTAACGGTAGAAAACAATGCTGTAGAGAGTGATGCTGATAACCTCAACAACAATTTCGATAATGATGCAGATCAGAGTCCAGTTCTATGCCGGGTTAGTATATTGGTCTCGATTTGAAGATGTTACTATTGAGTCTCACCTGAAGTCTGCAAACAAGAGCATAGTCAACCTTGTCATCGAAAAGCTCGGAGCGATGGTTCTGCACGCAGGCCCATCCCCACATATCCTTGTTGTTGCTGTTGTTCCTGCTAAACTGGAGCACACCAGCAGCGACTGCCCACATAGCCATGCTGAAAATGAACCAGCCGACTGCGAATAGCGTGTAGTAGACACCAACTTTCTCGGCCCTTCGGTGACCACCACGGCAATACCCAATAAAGACAAGCACACAAATGGCGAGGGAGACGCAAGAGGCGGCGAGGACAACTTTTTGTGGCCACGAGTTTGTGTTGCTTGCCCATGGAGGCAGACCGTTCTGAGCTGGGAGAGCCTTGGTGGCGTTGAAAATGGCGAACGAGGAAGAAAGCATGGAAAGGATGATCAAACTGCAGCTGAAGTTGACACCACGGAGGGCGAACTTTGCCATACGAACTCTAGTCTTGATTCTCTGTTGCACTTATTAGTTGAGGATTACGACAGGGCTTGCAGTGACATCACATACCAAATCCTTAACCTGCTGCTTCTCGGTTGATGCCTCCGTCTTCTCCAAAACCTGCTCTTCGCGGAAGGTCGGGCTCAAGGGGTTCAGGCCCCGTCCCGGTGTTCCTGGCACCTTCATCGCGCTCTTCAAGGGCGACGCGGGCGTCATGGGCACGGTGACAGATTCCCTGGAGCTGTCGTTGATATATCCAAATCCAACATCGCCCGGCTGGGACTGAGGTACTACGTTCCTCTCATTTCCAGAAAACGGTGTTTCTCTCGGCTCAATAGGTGAGTGAATGCTCGTTGCCTCAGCAAAGCGTGGTGTCCTTGGCGGCTTCGCCAGCGAGGAGCTGGTAGAGGATGAGTCTGTGGAGTCTGATCGCTTAGGAGCGAGCTTCAAAGCGGAAGGCCGCTTCCTGTCGTCGTTGATTGCCATTGCGGCAGCGTGATGTGTGAGAGCGTCGACGCGGACAGGTGAACCCAAAGCTTTCTATAGGGGACGGACTGATACTAAGAAGTAAAGGAAGGATGGAAAGTCCAAGAGTGTATGCAAGGACGGACGTTCAAGTAAATGAATCAATATGGAAACCAGATACGGAGAGACCAGCTGTCGAAGAACTAAAAGCTCAAGCCTCTGGCAGCTGGGGAGGAGAGTGGTTTTGAGTTGGCGCCGGCCAGGACGAGGAACAATTTAGTCCGGCCTTGGGAGGGACCTCGCTGCATGGGAAGGTTAGCGTGATGGTACGAGCAGGAAGCAATGATATTTCGTACAGCAGGCAGGGGTATGAGGTTGACCAGCAGTCTGGATGCTGATAGGGCAAGTCTGTGAACTTCCAATAGAAGCTGGCAATCCGTGATAGAAATAGACGCCGGGAGAGGTGATGAAGTGGCGCCGGGCTACTGGCGTCCAACCTAACGGTAAGAGACTGGATGTCACTTGTACGTTGTAAGTGGAGGATTCTCTTTGCAAGGCCTGGATGCCCTTGGAAAAGAATTATAGAGCTCTCCCAGAGAGACGGCAACGAGGCTCAATGAAAGCGTAGTTAGGCGGAGTTTGGGAGGCAAGAAGAGAAAGAAGAAGACAAAGAACAGTCACAACGGCAGACTTAGCTCAGATAAGATCGCGAGTTCGAGGAAGAAAGAGGGGTTGCCCCCGGGAATCAATCATGTATTTCGAGACGGCAGCAAGTGAGAGAGCACCTTTTCCCTCTCGGCGCTGCAGGTCTGTATCTAAGTTGGGTACTCGAAATATCACAGCATCCCATCCGAGGGAAGGGCTGCCGTCCCGGAAGTCCCTAGACTTGTGCCCCAGGCGAGTTGGCGCCCGGCCGTCGCAGGGCAGGGCCTCCATCTGCACGGCAGACGCCCTGATTCGCCATGTATACATGTACACCACGCACTTCATCCATAGTTGAGCCAGGATGGCGGCCACTTGGCCGGAGGACAGGGCGGTAGGTGATGGGGCCCTGATGGACTCGGCGTGGGCGGGAGCGGTGGTTGGGCGGTAAAGGGACGCAGAGGAGAGGACTCAGAGGAGGGGAAAGACCACGAGGAGCGACATGGTCAATCTGTGCCCCTGTTCCTCGACTGCAGAGTATCCCGCCCTCGGCTGTGGTTGGTGGTGTTGGGGATACCGTGCAGGAAACCCTGCCAGCAATCTGCCATGCTCGAGATCGGCCTGCGCGACATGATAGGCTGCCTGCACTGCTGCCCCATGCATCTCTAAAGGCGTGGTGCCGGCTTCCAAAACACCTCGCCAATCAGAGCGCAGAGCTGCGTGATTCCCGTTCAGCCATCTGCATGCGTCGTAGCCTGGGCGGTAAGCAACTTCACACCTCAACCTCGGGGAAACCGCCAAATTCCTTTTGTTGTCTGCTGCTGCGATGCGACGGCAATTTTGGCCGCCTCAAAGGGCCTGAGGCAAGCTTCAGACACCGGAAGACAGCGGAAGAGGTGTCTCGCCTCAGCGTGTCGTGTCAGGGCCGCGCAACGGCCTCCTTGATGAAAGATTGAGCCAAACTGCAAATGGCCTTAATTGTACGCTACTCGTGACTTCGAAGCTTGCGGAACACAGCTTCCTCTCAAAGCATGCCGTACATGCGATGCGCTCTGGTATCACCAGGCCAAAATCTTACGTACGCCAAATCTTTGGTTCTTTGTGCCTCGAACGGGACATCGTCCTGGTACAGTACATGGGCTCTCAACCGACTGACAAATTCATGCGGTCCCCGGAGCGAAGAGCGAGGGCAAGCACCTCTAAGAATCCCAGTCCCATCAGCAAGCCAATATGGAAGAATCACAGTCGGCAATCCTTCTGCGCTCGGATTAATTGCTGATAAGGCGACCAGGCCGATGCAGATGCGGGACGGACGATCGATACATAGATAATAATAAGGGTAGGTAATAAGAGTCGAGCGTGTCGCCGCCAAGCAGAGCGATTTAACCCACCTCAAGCTCTTTTTAGCCCCCCGCGGCCACTATTTTTAGCCCACTTCACCTACTGCTCTGGACGCAGGGCCATTTCTGGAGAGCCGACCCTCCATCTTCAAAGAAGCTTATGAGCCTATCCGGTCTCTCTATCTGGCCCATGCCTTTGTCTTCCATTCCGAGGTTGCCAAGTCCCGGAGAGCTGTGCGGCACTAACCTCTACCTGTGCTGTGCTGTACCATGAAGAAATTGTTCCATTGCCGATCTTCTACAATCCTTCGAAGCATGATACTCAAATGCAAGTCAAGAAGTGCATCATCAAGTCAGACAGGAATCAACTATTTTTGTATTTTCATGCAGGCACAGGAGCTTTGAATTCCAACAACGCCACCATCATGACGGATCATGTCCAAGCTTCAATGTCCTTTCTTCTCTTGAACTACCGAGTAAACAGCGTAACAATCAGGATTGGGGATGCCATACTTGAGACGTGAAGCCTTAGGATGCGGCTGCTCAGATGTTTGACATGCCTGAGACACTGAGAATTACCGAGCCTCTGAACTTGTGTTCTCAGCCCGTTTCCTTTATACTTAACATGTCCATGTGGAGTGATGCCGTATGAGGTACCGTCAAGGCGCTATGGGCCGCAAATGACTGTTCCATCGCACATGCTTGTGTAAGTCAACTATTCCGATCCACTTCCTTCGCAAACACATCTTCAAGCTCGGAATCCATCGAGTAACACTGCAGGCGCCTTTGATGTGATGTCATATTTGGATTGCAGAGCTTTAGTCATCTACTGCATCTGGGATGAGCTCCGTTCATGAAGAACGCTGTTACTACGATTTGTTTGGGGGAGGGGGTAGATCAAATAGACAAGGTTCCTGAGGGTTTCCGTAGACGTCCTAGTCTAAGCGTGTCTGGCAGAAACACGGTATAGCATCGCTATCCTAGAATAATCGAGCATCAGAATGTTCTTTTTCGCTCCTTTGGAAGGCTCAGCTTGCAGGTTTAATCTCTTTTATACGCCCGAGGCTCAGAGTGATGGATGGGATGAATGTTGGAGCCGCGGGGCGGGGAGTAATAACCTTATCAGCTTATCGGGAGTTGCCAGCTGACCAGAAGCGGCTTAGCGCCCAAAATGGGCAGCAGTGTGAGCCAGAGCGATGACTGCACACGAAATTTTGTCACGAACGAGGCAAAATATTGGGCGACTCCATATCGAACCTCGACCCATTATTTCGAACTAGAGCTGCAACCTCCCTGACCCCGATCTGAGAAACCGCACATCTCAGCTTCTATCCACTGCGCACCTTGACGTTCGCAGCAGCCCTACACAAGCACCGCGCACACTTTTCTCCCCTTACCGTTGAGTCAGAGAGGGGCACAAAATCACAGTTGTTTTCTACCCCGCGCATCACCAAGAATGGCTGCCAACGGCGACAAGTTCGGAAACGACATCGAGTCGGAGTCCGACTCTGGCCCCGATTCTCCCGGCCTCGAACCCCAGGATGTGTCGGATCACGAAATCGACGAGAAGCCTCTCAAGCCCGCCCTGAAGAAGGCAGCCCCCGCTGCTCCCCCAGTACAGCGACCTCCCCTACCGCCCCAGACCGAGCCGAAGGACCTCGATGTCAGCACTCTCAGCCCACTGACCCCCGAGATTATCGCGAGACAAGCGACCATCAACATCGGAACGATCGGTCACGTCGCTCACGGAAAGTCCACCGTCGTGAAGGCCATCTCCGGTGTGCAGACAGTTCGGTTCAAGAACGAGCTGATCCGAAATATTACCATCAAGCTGGGATATGCCAACGCAAAAATCTACCAATGTGACAACCCAGAATGCCCTCGCCCAGGCTGCTTCAGGAGTTACAAGAGCGACAAGGAGGTTGACCCTCCCTGCGAGAGAGAAGGCTGTGGAGGCACCTACAGACTGATGAGACACGTCTCGTATGTATACACGTATATCCCGATATAATGCTCCTCGCAAGACTAATGACTTCAGATTCGTCGATTGCCCCGGTCACGATATTCTGATGAGCACCATGTTGTCAGGAGCAGCCGTCATGGACGCCGCACTATTGCTCATTGCCGGGAATGAATCCTGCCCTCAGCCCCAGACCTCGGAGCATTTGGCTGCTATTGAGATTATGAAGTTGGACAAGATCATCATCCTCCAGAACAAGGTCGATCTGATGAGAGAAGAGGCTGCCCAGCAGCACTACCAGTCAATTCTCAAGTTCATCAGAGGTACCGTCGCCGGCAAGTCACCAATCATCCCGATCTCGGCGCAGCTGAAGTTCAACATCGATGCAATCAACGAGGCGATCGTCCACACCATCCCTGTGCCGCCTCGAGATTTCAGCATGGACCCCCAGATGATTGTCATCCGATCCTTCGATGTCAACAAGCCCGGTGCCGAGATTGACGAGCTGAAGGGAGGTGTTGCTGGTGGCAGTATCCTTCACGGTGTGCTCAAGCTTGGTGATGAGATTGAGATCCGACCAGGTATCGTCACTCGTGATGAGAAGGGTAACCTGAAGTGCACACCCATCTTCAGCCGAATCGTCTCGCTGAACTCAGAGGCCAACGACCTGAAGTATGCTGTTCCCGGCGGTCTGATTGGTGTTGGTACTCGCATCGATCCTACGCTCTGCAGAGCCGATCGTCTTGTCGGTTTCGTCCTAGGTCTGAAGGGCCGCTTGCCGGAGATCTATAGTGAGATCGAGGTCAACTTCTACCTACTACGCCGTCTGCTTGGTGTCAGGACCGCCGATGGCAAGCAAGCCAAGGTCGAGAAGCTAGCGAAGAACGAGGTCATCATGGTCAACATTGGCTCAACATCTACCGGTGCCAAGGTTGCCGCCATCAAGAAGGACGCTGCCAAGCTTATCCTGACATCTCCTGCCTGCACGAACATTGGCGAGAAGGTTGCGCTCAGTCGTCGTATCGAGAAGCACTGGCGCCTGATCGGATGGGCCACAATCGCTGCGTAAGTCACTTCTTCTGCCTCAAAAACTGAATATTCGTCTGACGTATTCACAGAGGAAACACTCTCGAGCCAAGCACGTCTTAGAGTACTGACTGCTTACTTTGCAATTTTCTACCATGTATTCCGGCAACATAGGGAATAGAAGGATTCACAAAAGTCGCAAGTAGCGTGGCATTATTCAAAGACGGCCGTGGCGAGGAGTGCTGCGTAGTAGATCTGAGAGGTGAGAGACAGCTGACCACGGCGAAGCATGGATAGCATCGAAAGACACGGGTCGCATCCCGAACTTACCAGGCGATGGATACCGACATGATACATGTTCGTAGTCGATTAGACGCGAGAATGTACGTACGGTTGAAGCTAGACCTCTGATTATATGAGCTTTTTGATCCCAGCTTTTCCTCTCATTTCGCTTGCTATTAAGATTATGTGACAGATGTTGTAGAGGTATGATGTATGCCATGTCTATTTGCGCACTTTTCGTGCATGCTTGACCAGGTTCTCAATGACGCCCTCAAACGCCTCCCGGTCGCCGATTTTCTCGTCCGTCCGTTTCGTCCAGTACTCCAGCACCTCCTTCGAGGTGACCTCCATCTTCTCGAGCCGCGCGACGTGCGCCTTCAGCTCCGCGTCCGTCATGCCCAGCAGCGCCTCGTCCGTCGTCGTGCACAGCTGCTTGGCCGTCACGAGGTCCAGGTCCGGCACCGGCGGCGGGCCCTTGCGCCGCTTGGACGACGCCGAGGGCTTGCCCTGCGAGTCGACGGACGTGCTCGAGGCGTTGCCGTCGCCGCCTTGCTTCAGGCGTGTGATGCTATTGTTGGTGTTGCCGCGTGAGTCTGTCGACGTCCGTAGTGATCCGGACGAGTTCACGTGGTGCAGCGAGGGTAATATAAGTTTCTTCTGCTTTGATGCGGGCAGGATTTCGTCTAAGTCGACGGGTACGCCAAGCGAGACGAGGAAGAGCCGCCGGATGCGAGATCGTATCCAGTCCGGAGGCTGTAGTGGTGGTGGTGCTACCAGTTGTGACCATAACGACGCGCTTCTAGGCGTCAGAAATATGGGGTTCTCTTTGGATAGCGGGGGTATAGAGGGGGTGTCCGATTCTTCGGTAGGGAATAGAGCGTTTAGATATGGCTCCGTAGCAGCAAATATCTCATCAGAGTCCATGCCTTCGAAGTCGGGTATAGGAAAGGATAGAGGCTGCACGGCGGGTGCCTGTGCAGCGGCCGGGACAGGTGTGGGCTCATCGGGCTCATCGAAGCCGTCGTCAAACTCGCCAAAATCTGCGTCTTCGTCTCCTTCCTCAAAGTCATCGAAATCGTCACCAAAGTCTTCGTCATCATCGCCTCCAAAGCCGGCAGCACCAGGGCCGAGCGTGGCAGCTTTCTGCATCGCAGCAGACGACTTTCGTCTCGCGCGTGGCGTTCTAGGTGATCTTAGGGACGGAGATATTGGAGTATCTACGCGAGATAGAAGGCTCAGTATTCATGTTTCTCTGCAAAAAGCTATAGGGGAAAGAAAGACGCTACACATCCGTACCAGAAACTGCTGCCCCGCTGCTACCATCCTCAGTCTTGCCGTCAGCCGTCAAGACGAGATCTGGCGGCGGGTCTGCCCTGTTCCTCCTCTCCGGGTGAGATTGCGACTGCGAGTTGTCCTCGCTCTCCTCGACGACTGTCTTGGGGATCGGGTGCCCGCCCGGAGTCGCCGGCGACTTGACCTCCTCGCCATTATTCTCCTCAGACTCCTCATTCTGCGCATCCGGGATGATTGCTATCTCATCCGGCTCAGCATCACCCTCCCGCAGCTTGTAGGCTGCCGTGCCCGGCACTTCTCCGTATGACGGCTCATCGCTGACCTTCTCGACACGAAGCTTCGGGATGGGGGAGGCTCTGGAGCTGATGGGCGCAGACTGGGCGTCGGAGAAGTGGTCTTCGGATTCGGAAGAGGCTAGACGCATGCCGTTAGACAAGGCTTTGGTGATGTAGCAAAGACGAGGCATGCTTACTCAATTCATGTGCTCCAGGATCCTCTGTGCCATCTCTCTCCGGAGGGCTCAAGCTGTCGGATCTGTCACGCATGATCTGGCTCACAGACCCGAGGCTGGGCCTGTTCCTTGTCTCGCCGTATGGAGCAGATCCAGGCTGCTTGTAACGTTGGGCAGTAAATGTGTGGTATTTGCACGAAGAATATTGCCAGGCCGCAGAGCAATTGTAAAGAGACCCGGATGAACGGGGCCTATGGAATCGGTTCTCTAGATACGACAGAGGTGGTTGTCTGGTTTGTTGATGATGAGAGGGATGGCAGTTCACATGCACTGGTGTTAATCTGGAGGGGATGGACGAGGTCAGGTAGGTGGGTAGGATAAGGTAGGTGGTAGGGTCGAGCGAGTCCTTTGAGGCCCAGACCTATTCGAAAGGAACACTGGTGCGGCACTGCCAGATGTTTTGGTAAGGAGGGAGGGGCGGGGATAGATGTGCTGGTAAGACTGCTGCTACACATACCCCTCCCCACTATCACCACAAAATGGAGGAGTTAATATAA